TGGTCACCAGATTCATCGGAAACTGTTCTTATTATGTTTAGTTAATAGAGATTTTTTTTTTTGAGAATATATTTGTGGTAACCAATTTGTGACAAATGATAGACGTTCGTTGATACTATGTAGTATGAGAAGCAACATGCTATTGATTCATAACAAACATAATGTATCTTATGAAAAAAAAATGCCCAAATAAAAAAATGCCCAAAATAAAATCCCCATTTGGTGACCAGAATTTACCTTAATTGTTTTATTTTCCCCAAATGGGGATATGATTTGGGGATTGATTCAGGGAACCACAATTTGGGGCAAATGATAGACATTCATTTCTATGCGTCCCTCTTCTCTACCATTTGTACTTGTGACAACTTCACTGATGCATACATATGTCAGTGTGATCAAATAGACAAAAAAATAAACACGAACGAGTAAAAAATGAATGTTTCTCTTGAATTGATTAGTGAAGATCGGCAGAAATAGACATACACGAGGTGTTATGAAGAAATCAAAGATCTTCAATCATCTAACTAATAACGTTACAATAAGCAGTAGATTCCATTACCTCTATGGATGAGAGGTCTAAGACAAAAAACTTTGAAAATTTAGCATCATTCGATTTCAGGAGATTTTTTCTTTTATCTCAGAGACACATAACGGAAGTGTGAAACTTTCAGCGTTTATAGAGCAAATACTCAGCTACAATTTGGCTCAATTGAAATTAATAATCTATTTAATCAAAAGAGTCAGTCAGAGTTTTATAAAAAAGCACTTGCACAACTTCTATAAAACTTTCAAAATTCATTGACTCTTAGCTGTACAGGTACCCTCACCCAACCTTTGTCTAACAGTGAAAACTGCGATTCGATAGCTATCAGCGTTGCAGAGTTATTAAACAAACAACCGAGTCCACTTTATTTTGAAATGGATAATAATTTCCACAACAAAATGGATTGTAAGTATTATTTATATTAATAGTTTTTCTTTTTCCATTCAGGTCAGCCTCGAAAACAAGATAAAACGTAGTTTTCATACACACAAAAACACCATAATGAACTTAATTATTTTTATAAACTCGTCTTTCTTGGTTAAGTTAATCTCGACAACGAAATGAAATGTAAGTAACATTTATACATACGTATATATATTAGTTCAAAATAAAATGTAACTATTATTTATATAAATCTTTTTTTCGCCATTCAGATCAATCGCAACAACGAAATCGAAAGTAAGCATTATTTTCTTATAAATGTTTCCTTTTGATTTAGGTTAACATGAAGTTGAAAATAAAATGTAAGTATTATTTACTTTAACAATTATCCTTTTCTGTTTAGATCCATTGTAACAAGAAATCAAAAATCAGTATTATTTACTTATATAAATGTTTTTTTATTTTATATAGTTCAATATGAAATTCAAAATAATATGTAAGTATTATTTTAAAAGTCTTTTTTTTTATTTAGACCAATCGCAACAACGGAATCAAAATTAAGCATTATTTTCTTATCGATGTTTCTTTTTGATTTAGGTTAATATCGAGTTGCAAATAAAATGTAAGCATTATTTACATTAATAATTATTTTTTTCTGTTTAGATTCATTCTAACAACAAATAAAAAGTAAGTATTATTTACTTACATATATATATATATTAATTTTATTTAGTTCAATATAAAATTCAAAATAATATGTAAGTATTATTTAAAAAAAATCTTCTTTTTAATTCGGACCAATCACAACAACGAAATCAAAAGTAAGCATGATATACTTATATATATTTTTTTTAAATTTTATTTAGCTCAATATGAAATTCAAAATAATATGTAAGCATTATTTTAAAAAATCTTCTTTTTAATTTAGACCAATCGCAACAACAGAATCAAAAGTAAGTATTGTTTACTTATATGTTTTTTTTGATTTAGGTTAATATGGAGTTCAAAATAATATGTAAGCATTGTTTATATCAATCTTTTTTTTCTATTCAGATCAGTCGCAACAACAAAATCAAAAACAAGTATTATTTACTTATATATCTTTTTTAATTTTATTTAGTTCAATATGAAATTCAAAATATATATAAGTATTATTTGCAAAAAAAAATCTTCTTCTGTATTTAGACCAATCGCAACAACAACTGAAACAAAAGAAAGTATTATTTTTTTATATATGTTTCGTTTTTTATTTAGGTTAGTATGAAATTCAAAAATAAAATGTAAGTATTATTTATATGTATTATTATCTTTTTCTATTTAGGTCCATTAGAACAAGGAAATCCAAAGTAAGTATTTATTTATATGTATATATTTGTTTTTCTTTATTTAGTGCAATATGAAGTTCAAAATGATATGTAAGTATCATTAACATTAATAATTATCTTTCTGTGTTTAGATCCATTGCAACAAGAAATCAAAAGTAAGTATTATTTACTTATAGATATATTTTTTTAATATTATTTAGTTCAGTATGAAATTCAAAATGATATGTAAGTATTATTTTAAAAAAATCTTCTTTTTTATTTAGACCAAAAGCAATAATGGAAACAAAAGTAAGTATTAGTTTCTTATGGATATATTTCTTTTTTTATTTAGGTAGTATGGAGTTCAAAATAATATGTAAGTATTATTTATCTGTATTATTATCTTTTTCTGTTTAGATCAGTTAGAACAAAGAAATCCAAAGTAAGTATTTATTTATATGTATATATTTGTTTTTCTTTATTTAGTACAATATTAAGTTCATAACAATATGTAAGTATTATTTATATAAATTTATTTTTTTTGTTTAGGTTCATCGCGACAAACGCAATCATAAGTAACGCTGGGGACTAATCTTGAGGCACACCATTTCAACCTGTTACTCTTTCCCCTTGCATAACAACAAACAATTTTAGAAAACAGCGGTACCAAAGTTCACAACTATACATGTTCTTCTAAGCAAAAAACAAATTGTTAGTTCGAATGATACTCCACAATAAATTTTAGATTGTCAAATTAATAAAAAAAATATCTTATTTGGCGGTCTAAACTTTATTGTGGAGTATCATTCGAACCACTTACAATTTGTTTTTTGCTTAGAGGGACATGTACAGTTGTGAACTTTGGTATTGCTGTTTCCTAAAATTCTTTGTTGTAATGCTAGGGGAAAGAGTAACAGGTTGAAATGGTGTGCCTCGAAACTAGTCTCGAGTGTGAGTGTGTTTTATACACTCTTTCCGAAACCCTTGTATGGATATATGAGTGTTTTCTAAACCCTTATATGAGTTTTTTGAATGTGTCCTAAACCGTTATATGGGTTTATGAGAATTTCCTAAACCCTTATATGGGTTTATGAGTATTTCCT